ATAATGACTTGTATTAAAATATGCTGTTATTTCGAATGATTCAAGTAATAATATTCTTGAAATTTGGTTTCATATGCTATTAAATTTTACAATTATTAATTCATTAATTCCATACACATTGTAAATATTTTTATAAGTATTATTTAAAAATAATCGTACAATGTGTGCATCTCTGATGTCTGTGAAGAAATGAAATATTCTACTTCGGCATTTTTTTTAAAGAAATAGTTATTCACGATATATTTTTAAATGTTACGGAAATCATAAAGATTAACGTTATGATATATGTGCATTATGCTTCAGACATGTGGACAAATTCTTTCATTCGGTAAGTAAGAAAAAAAAGTAACGAAAAGGATTATTCGTTACGAAATGCTATATATTATACTCTCGTCCATTTACCTTATGAATATTTAATTGAAAACATGAATGAGGAAAAACGATTCAAAATCTCTCTTCGTACACTCATTCCTCATTGGTCATAAGACTTCTGTGAAGTAACTTGATTTTAGAAAATATTTTTTATCTTTTATACTAAATTTTGAAGGTAAATATTTTGATTATAGAATGATATTATTTGTATTTTAAATCTTTATATACATATGCTTTCTTAGAACAATATATTAATTTACCTGAAACAAATATCTTTAATTTCTGTCAATAATTTGTTGTAAAGAAGTGAGATCATCAAATGGTACTTTAGATTATGTCCTTACTTTGTTGAAATTCTTCAACGATAATAAACAATTGAATCTGAACAATATCACAAAAAACTGTTTAGTTGTGATTATTTAAAAATATTGAAACGATCTTCTTAAAATTATTATTATAATGTCACAGCAATGTTAGTACGCTTCTTTTCATTTTAATTTATTTTGTATATAATTGTTTATCTTGATATTTCTTGAGACGAAGATGTTTCAATTATAAGTTCTAGTATTTTGAAAATCTATTACAGATTTTTTAGTATTGTTTGAGTTCCTAAGTGATTAATGACCTTGAGATTTTACTATAATTCATTTATCCATTCAAGAAATATACATAGTCTCGTTCATTAATCTGAGCAACAAAAAATAGTTTGAAGTAACTGATGCAAATCATTTTATTACTTCAGAAAAAAACCGTAGTTTCATGACAGGCAATATATGAATACAGCTGAGTTTTCTATCACTTACAAAAAATTATAAATTGATATATTTTTACCTGAAAATGTAATATTTATGACTGTCATAAATTCAGATACTCAAGATGATTTTATATAAATTATTAATAAAAGGGTAAGTGAATTTTTTAAAATTACCTGCATTATCTTAATAAAAGTAGGAGCAAATGTTTAGCACAAACATTGAAAGATTAAACATCTCACACTGTTGCTACATATTTGTCAGGTTACTATAATTCTGAATAATATCTGTGTTATTTAAATATAAGCAGGTTGTGACGATTATCCCACAGCCACACAACAGAAGTTAACCGAATTGTTAAAAGTTATCTGTATCTAAAGTCAGATTAATTGGAACCAATATGAAATGCGTTAAAGGTATACTCATTTTGGAAGAGTTCCATAATAAGGAAATCCATAAGAAGTCACTGAATAATTTATACAAGAAAAGTTCGACTTTGGGAGCAGTTTCCTTCAGAATTGCGCGGAAGATAGTGCATAAGAAAGCAGGAAAGTCTTACGCCTCGAAATATATTAAAAAGATAAAATCAGAAGATAATTGGTTAGCTGAGATACTCCACGAAATCGCCATTTTAAAAAGATTTAAATCAAAAAATATCGTTAAATTTCATGAGGTATTCGAAACAAGGAGCCAAATTACTCTGATTATGGACTTATTGGCCGGAGGTAATCTTCAGAACGTATTAGAAAATATGAAGTATATGCCAGAGGTTGATGTTAAAACTATAATCATTCAAGTATTGGAAAGTGTTCACACTTTGCATGCACAAAACATAATATACATTGACATCAAATTGGAGAACATTTTATTATCCAAACCGAAATGCTTCGAAAATATAAAACTGTGTGATTTTGGCCATTCCATGTATTTGGAACCGGGCGAAGAATTGAGATCTTTAAATGGGACTTTAGATTATATGTCACCAGAAGTATTGACGAAGGTTCCTATCTCGAAGAAATCAGATATTTGGTCAATCGTATTGGCATTGACATATTGTCTTCTTTCCGGATATTTGCCTTTTTCAGACGAAGATGATGAAGACACGAAAGTGAACATCAGGAAAGGAATCGTGGAGTTCGAGGAAGATTCCTTTAAATCTATTTCAGTGGAATGTATAAACTTTATAAAATCGACGCTCGTTTTGGATCCAAAATTAAGACCGTCAGTCAATGAGTTGAAGCAGCATGAATGGTTTTCTACTGGCAAATGTTCTTTGTAAATTGAATAATTCTAATTTATATTGTATTTTTTTTTGTAATATATTGTGTATAAATAATTTATTTTTGTAACAGGCTAAGATTCTATTTTTTATTTTAAATATACATAAACAATATACAATTATTTCATTTATTTAGAGTAGTATTTTGAGTAATGCTTTATATCATACATGTCTGATATAAATAATATCATATCCAATGTTTTCCACGTGAATTTTCAGTTATAAAACAATTATTGTTATTTTTTATATACTTCAATCTATTAATGAACAAACTTTTTATTTAGCAAAAAATAAGAGTTCATTTGTTGAAAAAGATTAATATCTTTTAACACTTTCAAAATACTGCAAGTCTCGTTATTTTTTTTAACAAAGAAATTATATGTATTGTATATACAATAATGTATGAAATACATGTGTATATTTGTTTTGTTATGTACGATATATAGTTAGAAATGGTTTATTATATCGAAGGTGACTCTTGTAAGGAAGTTGTGAATTGTTACATAACAATAAAACTTTACAATGTAAGTGTTAATCAAATCTGAAAGGTAGATCTAGTGGTTTGAAAAGCTTCAATCGACGCGTTGTTAAGCTGTGCAGGTAGATTTATTGCTGGAAAATGCGTGTAGTGTTCAAACCTATCTTCGCTATCTGATACTATATCTTTAGATAGTATCCGCGACTATTTCCATTTTGAGGTCCTCGTACATACTCTTATTTGTGATGTATTAAGATGATCTTTCTTTGACTTTCTAACACCTTTCTATACATATTTTTGTTTGAATTTCCTCATAATCGATTAACAATTTAAAGTACCTCGTTATATGGCCGTTATTTATACATCACTTTTTCGATTTACAGCACAAAATGTTTCGTTAATCGGCTAAAAAAATCTTGGGGCGCCGAGAAATAATTCTGATGTATTAAGGGCGCAGTAAATCGAAAATGTTTTAGAGCCCCTGCGTTTTACAATAAGTTTATTCGGATACATTAAGTGAGGTTTTACTATATTTAAAAATATATTCCAAGTATACGGCATTGAGTAACAATATTGGTTTAGTTTACTATGTGCTAAATTATATTAACAATTCGCAACTTTGTATATAGAATTAGCCCTCATATAATTTGGATATATCATGTTAGAGTTGATAACAGGATACGATATATAAAAAAGTTAGAAGCGCCAATTTGTTGTAAAAATCAGTTATATGTATTGGGTTGGCAACTAAGTGATGTGTATTTTGAATAAGGAAGTAGAAAAATTTAAAAATTTTGACAAACTGTTTTCATTTTATTTTAAATTCATGTATGCGATATATTGAGCTTCTCTGTAATCTCACATGTTGTGCTACGACGATCTGAATCGGTTGTAGCCTTGATATGGGTCTCATCACCGATCTGGCCGTAGTGCATTTTTCAGTGAAAAATCACCAGAACGTAATTTGGCAAACCAATTTTACACACTGCCTTTCTTTCAAGGCTTCATTCCCATATACGGCACATAACTTCTTGTATGCTTGCGATGCCTTCTTGCCTTTTTAGAAATAATACAATGAAATATGTCAGAAATGTTTGTCTTGTTCTTCCAATTTTAAATTGGGATAAAACTAAAACTAACTAATCGATACAATTTTTTACTAAATTAAAGGTAGAAATCCAAACAACAAGAAAACAATATAGGTTAGGAACACGTTGACAAAACAAAAGTATGTGCTAAAACCACCTACTGACAAAATCCGCAATCACTTAGTAGCCAACCCAATATTTTGGTGAATATTCTAATAAGGTTTTTCGTCATGATATTCGTAATATAATGGTTTTTTCTGGTAAGATTCTAATATAGTAATACATTATAAATTGCTAGAGAATGTTCTAATTAATCTATTAAGAGTTAAATAATATTAAATAATAAAATTGAAAGACAAGAATTGCATGGAAACAACGCTGCAAACGTGGTTCTTTAATTGAGTATGTCCAGTGACCCTAAAAGGAATTGGTGTGCGTTCGACCCCGAGAGCTCTAGGAAACCGTGCAAGTTTTTTTTTTGTCGCGAGAAAGGGGAAGTGTTGGGGAAAATAGCGAAGAAGAGAAAAATGAACGTGCGAGGATATTGATACAAGTTGGTTGGTAGTGGAAACGGAGAACTGCATCTCACGGTTCCATCCGATGTGCCCATACGCACATAATCTGAACAGTCTGTGTGTAAAATGTGCATAATTTAGCTCAAGATACAACGTCTTGTTCAGTCGAAAGTGGCCGGAGTGATGGATTCGGGCGGAGACTGAGGTAGCCGATTGGACATATGTTCCTGCAGAGTTCCTCCGGATTAGAGTCGTTGCCCTTTAGTGTCTGCTCACCATCACTCCTGCCGCCGAGCCCCGCGATTCACCTGCCGTAACGACATGGGATTGGTAGACTAGTCACCTTACCAGTCGAGTCGAGTCTTCTGGAGTCTTCGTCGGCTTCAAGCTTTTAGTTGCTCTTCGCCTGCTCAACCTGCTTCTAGGGTGACCAGAGACACGCGCGCTGACGTCGCGGTGTTCAAGATACCAGTACTTGTGCTTGCCGCTCTTGGAAGTGATTAGTGCTTCCGTTATGTTACCGTGTGATTGTCGGCCGGCGTAATATTATATAATTACAATCGCGCACCATATTTCATACACATACACACATACACATCTCATCCAAATATACATATACAAGTACACAAACTAAACCAAAAAATAACTGCAGTAGTAAATAATAAAATAAGAAACGAGTACAGACAAAAAAAAATATACACACACGGATATTTCATCTCGATAATAGAATCGAACAGAGTTCGGAAATAAAAATTCTCCTACGTTGGACCATGTGTTTCGGCCGATGACATTGTGTTCGATTGGATTGCCGAAAGGTAAGTTCTGAATTAGATCGATCGGTTCGCGGAACTAGCCTCCGGCTCACGAACCAACACACATTCTCTCTTAAAAAAAAGTTTTAGTAAAAGACAAAAAAAAAAAGAATCAAATTGGTACGACATCCCCGTCCTGCTCAAAATCATTCTCGTTTCATCCACCATATTTTTTTTATATTTATTTCGGCTCACCGCGTTCATGCGAGATCACTGCAGATATGAACTAGTTTAGATGCCAGCTCCAAATACTGGGGGATCCTGATCCTGACAAACAGGTCTGCATTGGAATTTTCTGCCTCGCAGATGCTATTCAGTCTTACTCCATTAAGATAAAATATTGAAATTATTATTGATTCGAGAACTAGTTCACAACAGTTACAACTACTATTTCTAATGTATATAGATATAGATGTATAGAGATGGTAGAGGTGTGCTAGTGCGTGCGTGCTTAGAGCCTATATAAAGCCCGATGCAATTGTCTTCCGAATAAATCTTCCGAAATGAAGAGCCGTTTAACGTGGAACGCGGGCTTGCGCTGCTCGCCTCCAATTATATAATTAATTGTTACGAAACGGCCACGATGATGGCGCTTAAACGGGGCTCAGCGTTTCGTTGCTCGTTCCTCTTCATCATATTTTCCTTATCCATCGAAATACAATAACTTACAACGATTTAAATTATAATAATAGCTCGATAAAATATTAAAATAAGAAAACTTAAGGAACACGCTGAAATTCTTCTGTAACTTGCAACTGTTTCTGAGATAACCCACTATTTCACATCCGCGTCTCGGTGGAAGTCGAGACGCATAATAGGATAATCCCATACTTCTTTCATCAAATCCCAGATTGAATCATATTTTAAATTAATTAATACACTTCTTTAAAAAAAAAACGAATTCTACTAATTTGAGTACATACATTTCTTTTTATATAATTTCGTTAATCTTAATACTAAAAATAAATATAACTGTTAGATTTTTCAAGATATTTGTAAAAATTAAAATAAATATAAATTATGAAGAAATATTTTCATAATAAATAAAAGTTCTTTCGGAGTCAATTCAACAAAAAATATTTGTATAAAACTATTTTCCACGAATTCAAAACTTGATAGTTATTTTACATAAATTCTATTATATTTCTTTTTAAAATTGATAATTTATTATACCAAATATATTCAAGGCAACTTTTCATATTTACTACTTTTTTCCTATTGTAGGTTAATTTAGTTAATGTTGAGAATAAATAACTGTAAGTTCATTCAGATTAATTAAACAAAACTTATTTAACATATATAATCCAATTAATAACATTCCAATGTCTTAATATGATTATAATTTCAAATAAAATGCATAGAATCTCAGATCGTTATCGTTGTTAACTCTACATTAAATAAATATTAATTTAGTTTTCTTCTTAATTGACAAACGCATTAAAATTAATTATTAGCATTTTTACGTAGCAATTTAATAAAAATTGAAACATTTTATAGGTATTTGTAATAAAGCGATCCGCGTCGCCAAGTGTATAGAAATTTGATTTTCCACCTGACATCCAATTACGTTCAGATTCGAAGTATTTATCCTCGAAGAAATCGATTACCTGTTAAACATATTTGCTTTTTATCCTCAATAGCAGTTTAACTTTTTCTCTTCTCTCATCGCGCAGCAAATCAATATAAAAAAAAACGATTTCAACGCTCAAATTGTATGTTACTGGTTTTTACGTGAGATTATATATAAAATTGTACAAGTCCATTCGCATACGTACCAAAACTATTTTATGTGCGGATTTTAATTTACAAACTAGTCGTACAGTATTTAAATGTAATAGCTGCGAGGCATGCGGTCAGATCATTAAATTAGTGTAATATACATACATTGCATAACGCGAGGTGAAAATTCTGCATGCAGACTTCATAGCAGATGCGCGATGGAATACAATCTATTGTGTAACGAAATATTGGGCCTGAATTACAAATTACAAATAACAAAAAAAAGGCCATGCGAATTCCAGGTTCAATAACACCGCAAAGTGCAAACGCGTTTTCCAGAATTCGACTTGTGTATTCCAACTGGGTCTCTTGTCCACGAGTTGTTTTTTTTATGTTTGTAGAATATATCTGTTTTTTTTGTCGTTTCTTGAAATTCACGAATAATGGATTGGAGCTTAATCTGTATTCCATTCTAGCTCGTATTTTGATTTATTCTTGTTATTAGATTAATCGTAACTTGAATGAACTTTTTTTTGTAACTATTCAATTATACGTGTTCGTATAAATTTACTGTATTTTGAGTTATTGCTGGGAAGTATTTTTATGTTGATTTTGCTTAAATTGTTGAATAATTTGAAGACTACACGTGTTAGGAACATTTCGCCGAAGGCGAAGAATCTATTTATATGATTATTTAATTAAATGGATTTATATAACAACAATATGTTTCAAGGTTTAGGATTTTTAATCTAAAATATAATTTAGAGGAAAAACGTAAATTTTAGCTCATAATTAACGACGTGATTCGTTTATTTATTAAATGTAATCTTTAAATAAATTATCTTTTAATAAATAATATCTCTTATAAATTCCGACAAAATTAAATAAATATACTTTTCAAATTTTAATGTTAAAAATGTCTGTTTTATTAATATTTTTTTCTAGTAACATTTTATATTAACTAATGTTAACTTATTTTATTGGGTTTTCAAATAGGTACTAATTTTGCATTCAGATTAGTATATATAAAATGTAATGGAAAATATGAAAACTAATTGGAAATTTATTAACAATTAAATTATATGAATTGTAGCGGTACATTAAATTTAATTTTCCATGTAATTTTTCCTCTTCTTCTAATCTATTACATTTGAACATTCATTAAATTAATTTGCGTTATAAAATTAATAGAACCAGTTATGAGTTGAATTGAAATATACCATGTCATTACGTTAATTTTCAAAGAAAATTAAATAGCCAATGTAGTTCTTTTTCACCACTACTGATTTAGTTAAATTTGTTGCTATTTTTCAATGTTTTTTAAAAGAATTTCAATCTATTTTTATAATTATTTCTTTCTGAAATGTCTTCTTTATACGATTAATGTTTGACGTAATAGTGTTGATCCGCAGTAATGAGTAATGGAGAATCAATGTGGAGAACCAGTGATTGTTTAATAACGCAAAGAAACTTGTTTAAAGAGCCTTATGCGGTTCTGGAGCCGCGAGTTGCCGACCCATGTGATAGTCTATTTTTCAGATTATAAAGTTAACTAACAAGTACTCTGTCTTGTTTTTGTTCAAAAACCAAAACATATTTTATTTCTGACGTAATAATGGACAATTAATGTGTATATAGAACCAGTGATTATTTAATAACGAAAAAAGACGCATTTACTCGTTCAAAGAGTCTTATGCGGCTGTGGAGCCGCGAATTAAAGACCAATGTGATTTATTTTCAGATTATAAAGTTATCTAACAAATACTCCATGGTGTCTTTGTTTGAAAACTGAAAGATTTTAATTCTTTTAATAATTTTCTTGTCGCTTTTTTTAATAAATAAAAAATAAAATATATTAAATATTTTAAATGTTATTGTATTTTTTTGCTTCATGCTATATTATTAAGATGTGTATAAGATTTTCGTTTTTCCATATCTTCTTGTGAAATCGTTTACAATATATCATGTGCACTTACTTCATATTTCCTGAATTATTTAATGAAATTATGACTAAGTAGAATGTCATTATTTATTTCCGGAGTTTGCTTTATTAAGTACTATAGCTTTATAATTTATAGCAAAATGGAAGTAGGAAGTAATTTAACTTAGTTTTTATTATTTTTATAACGTCTTTATTAATTATTAAAGTAATTTAATTAGTTTGTTATATGTTCATTAGCAGAAAATATAAAAATGTATTTATAATATATCATTGTCTTTTATTATTATCTATAATTGTAAATATAAATTTAATATTTGATGAATTTAACGTTATTAAAAATATGTTTAGAATATAAAATTTAAAAATTAAACAATAATAACAATATTTATTACAACAATTATAAAATATTACATTTTGTAACAATATTTTATTTGATTCCTTAAAAATTGTTTTTTTTTTCAATTCAAGCTGAAATTTAAAAAATCGATCTAAATTCTTGAAGATTTAATTTCATTTATATTCTTGGAACTTTCCATTCTATGGCAATGTTGCATTATAATTTCTATTTAATTAATTATTAAACTCTCTACGTTCTTATTTTATTTCTTTTCTTCGAATTTTTTAATCGTAATTAAAAATAATTGATTGCTAAAACTTGTTCTATGTCTATTTCTAAATTAAGTAATAATTAATTATCTTATTTTGTTCTTAGAGATTACATATACAATTGTAATTTATTTCTAATGCATTTTCTGAGTAAATTAATGTTTGTAATAGTTTCCTATTTTAATATTGAATATTGTTTTAATTGACGATACATTAAATAAGGTTTTATTTATAGATGTGAATTAGATAAATGTAAACATAATGGTTATACTAAAGTTTTAAATTGTAATTTCTCAAAACCAATTAGTTTTATATTTAATAAAGTAAAATACGTCGTATCATAAATAATGATAACATATATAACATAAAATTGTTATAAAGTAATGTATACTTAAATGTTATTCAGAGATCTAAATAATTAAATCAACTTCAATCATTCTTATTTTAGATACTGTACTAAATACCCTAATGGCATAGTGCGGGTAACTAAATAATACGCACAAAAAGAGACTAGAGCAGTGATGGCGACGTAGTAGGGCTTCAAATAACACAAAATTATGGTTTGCCATTTATATATAAACAACAACTTTGTATAGTAATTGTTGAGAATTTATTTTTCTCAATTAAAATTTAGTTTGTTTTTCAAATTTAAGTATAACTACAACACAATCTTGAAACCAATTAGTGTTATTTTTTCTCATTAATGATGTACAGATAAATAAACGCCAACGTACCA